CCCCTCCAGTATTAATCGGTAGGTGCTAAGGAAGCTCTGTGCCAAATTTGACACTTTTGTCACGTCTGTAACGATCCGGCCTATATTTTGCACTAAGAGACCTGACTAATTTGTTTTGTAGTTCACTTGTCACCCTGTCTATGTTTGTATTCATTTGGTGTGGAGGTTTGGCACGTTTCCCCAGCGAAGTTGGCGTTCATCTGATGACTCTCCATTTAGGCATACCCACCTTATATTGGGGATGTGATGTTGAGTCTGGGAGCCATTGCACTCACCCTACTGACAAAACTGACACAGCTCCCGCATGCAACCAACATATTACTATGTAATATAGCCTGTGAACGGCAGACGTTTCTCCTAGCTCATCGCTGCTGAAGGACATTTCTCCTTGTGAAACATCCCTCAGCGGCGATGAGCGAGGAGAAACGTCTGCCATTCTTAGGTTATATCTAATGGCGTATTCAACAAATGCAAGATGAGGGCTCTGAAAAGTTTACACCAGCAACGAAAATAACCATCAGTACCACTGATAGTCCAAATCCTGCAGCATGAAATAGATTGCACTCTTAGCCACTATCAGTATCTCGCACAAAAAAGGTTTCAAACCACTTAATCTTTGAGTGCGTAATGACCCTGTGCAAATTTCCTCATGCAGATTTCTAATATTTGCACAGTTTCCATGATTACAACACCCGGAATATGGATGTTGTCTCTGACCCTTGCAATGACTGTTAAACATTAAATTTCGTTTCACTACAGTGGGGCAGAACATGCAATAAATTACCCTTCTACTTAAGCAAGGAAGCATCTCTTTCCATAAAGAAGGATCTAAAGCTGCATTTTTATAGCCAGTGGAGGAGAATGTATGAACTAGTTAAACAATCACATGAGAAAATTTATAGCTCATTCATATGTTAACAAATTAGTTATTTATTCAATGAATCCAAATCATTTATATAGTCACAATTTTATGTTAGTACATTGGTCAAGAGTATGTCAGTTTATTCATTAGTTTAACAGGCTTCCATTGTTAAGCATTAGCGAAATTGGACTTGCCTGTCAGTATGAACATTGCATATAAATAAATAAATTCATCTAAATAAAATAATCCATGCTGTTTGAAAAGCTGATGTGTGATATCATGATCACTTCTGCTTAATCGTAACAGTGATTAACAAGATTATATCGAAATATTTTATTTAAAAATTCGATTAAAACCCATACATGGTAACACATTTTATTGGACCTTCGTATAGATAGAAAGATCCTATTATTCAAAAAATTTTAACTTGTAGTGCCATTTCATGAACCTTTTAATTTTCAAATACTAGATTTCTTCAGTAATGATTAGAAGTAATCTAAGTTGTCATCTTCCTTTAATCCAGTCTTGATGTTAGTAAGTTCAATGGTAGATCCAGCATGTGGCAGGGTCTGATAAACACGCAAGTGCACAAACGAAGAATTGCCAACATCAACCTGGAATTATGAATCACCATGTTAGATTATGAAAGGAAGTGATCATATCTTTGGAGCTGTGATGTAACTAAAAGAAGTTGCAAAAACACCCAAACTTATAACATTTTGGCCTTGAAACTGGTGGGGGAGGGGAGAGTGAGTAATCTCACTATAGAGTATCATTACTAGGGGCATAACAACCCAGAGCCAGCCAGAATCTCTCATGTATTCTTGTCAAAGTAATTTCATAGATGGCCAGTATATTATTTTTTGGATACATTTTCCCATGAATTTCAACTGTCCAATAAGACTACAAAGCAGTCAGCATTAGAAAAGGGTATCTTTGAGGTGTTACGTCAATATGCAGATTACACTTTTTCCTGTGTCATACTACAGAAGGAAACACTTTTGGGCAGGTCTTCCATTTTTGCAGGAAAACGTACTACTCTAACTTAAACAAAGCAAAAAATAATTGTTCTGTGTAAGTGCCATTGCATAGGCTCAGTGTAGGGGTTGCTCACTCCATTTTATAGGCTCCTGGTGACATCCAAAAAGGTTAAGGGCCACATTTTTGAGCTATTTTGAAAAAATAGCTCATATGTCAGTGGTGTGAGCGTATGTATCTTTGTGGCTTTGTATCTTTGTAACTTTGTAACTTTGTAACTTTGTATCTTTGTAACTTTGTAACTTTGTAACTTTGTATGTTCGGATGTTTGTTGCAAGAGCCAATAAGGTTGAAGGTACTATGAGTTGATGCTAAGGAACCAATGAGATCTTGGCATCTACTTGAAAATCACATTGCTAAAGGTCGAACAAGGGCACTTTAAGACCGCCATCTTGATTCTTTACAATTTGTTCGTCTTTTATTACGGCTACAGGTGTTTGGAAACATTATGTTAAATATCTTCATGATTCAAACGCTGTGTACAGTGATGCAGCTGTTTAAGGGTTCATATTTTAGTGTGGATGCTACTTCAAGACATTTCTGACCGAATTTGGCTATTGCGAACGGTACCACGCACGTATTTATGAGTTGTGTTTCACCTGCTTCAAGGTAGAGTATAAACGATCATATATTTTCAAAGCTCTTCCAGTGAAGCAATAATTGATATTTAGATATGGGCTTTAATTCGAAAGTATGCTGCCTATAAAATGTGGTTTTAGAAGTTTGAAAAGCAGCTTATTTTTTTAAAAGCTGTACCGAGTATTGTTAATCCTGTAAACAAGCTGTAGAAATATTATTCTCTCGCTTACAAAGTTCAACAGACCTTTTTCGTTCC